GGTTCGACAAAAAAGAAGAAAACCGTGGACCGAGCAGTTGAAACTGCGGTACGATTTGTTCAAATCGAAAGGATCGAAAAACAAGACTCGATTTTTGAGGTGGTCAGGGGACGTGGGAGGCCGAAAGGCTCCACGAAAAAGAAGGCGAATGTGGAAATAATAGTAGGGAGTGAAGATACAGAGGAAATTGGTTTCGAGAAGGACGATGCTTGTACGTTTGGAGCTGAGGTAAACGAGAGAAATTATAAAAGGTGTGATGGTAAGAAGAAAATGGGTAAAAATAATGTTAGATTTGCTATGGAGGATGAGATTGAGGTTGTTGGCGAACGTTTTGACCAAAAGGCGGATAATGGGAAGCCCAAGAAGGACTTTATGGAAGTGTTGGATGAGTATAACGAGGATATCAATAGGCGTAAGGGGAGATCGAAAAATAAGTACTTAAACGAGTCTCCTCGAGGTTTTGTGTGCATGAAAGAGGAAGAAGTACTAAATGGTAGCATGAAGAGGACAACTTTTTCGGCTTCAAGAATGTTGGTGAGTTTTTTCGATATGATATTACAATCGTTTAGAAATTCGGTGTTTAAATGAAAAATAAAAAAAGGCTAGCGTAGTTTCCAATTGTTGCTCCAAAATGTCATTGAGATAGATTACAATTTACAAGACTCGTTGATTGATGAGGATATTGCAGTCATTTGACCGATTCTGAACGAGCCACCTTTATCAGGACGATGTTTGCCGCTATTAGATCAAATTCCAATGGGAATAGTTAATTGCTTTCTTTTTTACTAGATGGCTAACTAGATTGACTTTGATCTCTGGAATTTCATTTTTCTAACTAGATCTAAGTATCTAATCTTAAACGGATATAATGCCGATGCATGCATACTATACAGAAACGTAACATAAAATATTTTTGTAAAAAGTCCGTAAACTTTACGTTGATTTTCGTGATGTCAATTTCTGTTAAAAAAACATAGTTTTGTACTTCCCTGCAGGATTCCACGATTAAAAGGAAGCAGTGTGGATTTACGTGCCACCAATGCTCGAAAAGTGACAAAGATAATTTTATCATCTGCTCGAATTGCAGACGAAAATGTTACTGCTTTGAGTGCATTACACTGTGGTAAAACTATACTGACGGTTTGCTTTTCACTTCCGTTTTCTGCTCAATAAATAAAAATCTCATCCGTTGGTGTTTAGATGTTTCAATTTTTGTTTTGATGTGCATGCTTTTTTTTTTGTGGATGGTTAGTGATTAACATTACTTCCGAAATTAGTAAGAACTTGTATTATAGCATATCGACTCTGCTCTGAAGCTTTGCAACTTGTTTTTAAAATGTTCGTTAAAAAGTATGTTGTATGATTGGAAAAATGTTTTGAAACTAATAGGTATCCTCAGAGGACGAAAAAAGAAGTTGAGAAATCGTGCCCGTTTTGCTGTGGGAATTGCAACTGCGAAGCTTGCCTTCAAGCAGATTTGGTTTTGCCGGTTCGTAATTTTGTAATTTTTGTATTTTATTTTATTTTATTTTGTTTTTTGTGATGATGATCCCATTTTTATCAGCTAAAGCCGTATAACATGTTTTCTTGTGATTCGTTTCTCTTAGAGCTGCTGCCATAAAGAAGCTGATGAGAACATCAAACTGCAAAGATCCCTTTATTTGCTATTCAATGTTCTTCCTCTACTTAAGCTTATACAGTTCGAGCAAAAACTTGAGCTAGACTTCGAGTTCAGAATGCGAGGTACTAACTAAATACTACAAACATTTTTTTTTTTTTTTTTCTAAAAACGAACTTTTTGTAATGATTGATGAAGTCTTGCTCCTGTTTTTTTTAAGGTGTTCCGATGAAGGAAGAACACATTCCTGTTTCTAAAGATGATCGGTTATACTGGTATGTCTTTTATTGTTCGACTATATAGACTATAGTTTCGAAAAAAATCATTACTTCGCCATAAAATATAAAATATGATAACTGCATTTCCTAATACTAAAAAACTTATCCAACAGTGATAACTGCAAGATAGCGATTGCCAATTTCCATAGAAGCTGCGAACGTTGTTCCTACGATGTCTGCCTCGATTGTTGTAATGACCTCAAAACGATTTCTTCAAATAACACGAACAATAAGTTGCGTAAAACGGGCCTACATTGTCCTCCCTGTGGAACTCCGAATTTGCAATTAAAGCGCATTTTAGGTCCTAATTATATTGAAGAATTAATTTCGAGTGCTGAAAGATTTACTCGTAATTACTTCCTTCCGGATAAAGATTACTCTCAGAAATGCTCCGTTTGTCTCGGCAATGAATTTTCCGAAGCGCGAAAAGCTGCAAACAGGCCACATAATCGAGATAACTTTGTTTACTGTCCTAATGCTCTCGATTTGCGAGCTGGCACATTCGAACATTTTCAGATGCACTGGAAAAAAGGCGAACCGGTTATTGTTCGAGACTCACTTTCGAAAGCTTCTGGTTTGAGTTGGGAGCCGTTGGTCATGTTGAGAGCTTTTAAGAATTCGAGAAAAATGTCAAATGACGAAACTTTCTACGTGGATGCTATCGATTGCTTGGATTGGTGTGAGGTACTTTTTTTTCGAGCTTCATTTCAACTTTTTTTTTTTTAACATAATGTACTTCTAATTGTCTATATTATTATACAGGTTAAGATCAATATTCAACAATTTCTCGAAGGATATTTAGAAGGTCGTAAGCAGCCAAACGGATGGCCGGAGATGTTGAAGTTAAAAGATTGGCCGCCTGAAAATTCGTTCACGGAGTTTTTTCCGAGGCACAGTTCGGAATTTTTGGCAATGCTCCCTTTTAGTGATTATACGCATCCTAAATCGGGTCTCTTGAATCTTGCTACGAAGCTTCCGGATGGTTCCGATTTGGGACCTAAAACGTATATGGCCTATGGATATCCAGACGAGCTTGGCAATGGTGATTCGGTTACTAAACTCCACTACAATATTTCTGATGCGGTATTCTTTATTTCTTACACAATAATCCTTGTTCTGTTTTTTTTTTTTTTT